TATAATAGATCTGTATATAAGTAATTCCCATAAGTAAGGTAACATAATCGCATTTACTCCAAATTATAAGGGAGACAAATATAAACAGAGTTATACTTACGTTACAAAAAGAGCGCTTCCTCAGCTTGCTTCAGTGTAAGCCGGTAATGGGGCTATCACCCCGTTACATGTAGCAACTACTCAAGATCGCGTTTAAATTTTCTTGAAAGCTGCAAAAGCACAGCAATGCTTCAAACACATTTGGTGCCAGTAGGTATATGTGTCTTGCTTTTTTCCAGTCGTACCCATCGATAATGTGCTTCAGTAAACAAAGATTGTCATTAAACACAAACGTATTGCGTGTTTATGTACCTAACGATAACATTTATCCCGTCTTACATTAGCCCCATAAATGAAAACACCTCACCTCGATATCTATGAACTTCGGGCGTCGGGTAACTTGTCTAGAAAATTGGCCTTCGTAGTATCGTATAATCATTCGTTGAGAAAGATATCCTATAACGGCGATAAAGGCATGTTTTGCAGTATGCACATCCGTAGCATATACTATGTAGGCACATACACTAGACGTTGGAAGCCAGTGCATTTGATGATAATTTCGCTGATCTATATCTCAACAATCACCTCGATATCATCATGGTCCTACCTCACCAAAGGCACAAGAAATGGAGTAGGTGAAACAATCGTACCGTGAGAATCGATGCCGCTTTGATATTGCTATAATATCTAATTTAAGTCTTATACTTCTCGCAAATATATATACCCAGAATGAGGGAGTACGAAAGCCTCATTTGTTGACCAGTAGTGTGAAACGTTAGAAAGTATCGCCGCGTATAATCCAGGCGTAAAGTATAGCACATTGTTGAAGGCTTTGCAGGAGCACATACAATACCACAATTGTACATTGCTCATGCAAAAATAGCTCAGCGAGGCATAAATAATCTCGTGTGGGGCGGTATTCGTGGCAGAAGATCGCACAAGTTTTGTAATCGAAATTGATTCCAATGAATCAAACATAAATTATACATAAACAAAGAGCCGATCCTACAGTGTTTTGCTTTGGTAGAGCAACCACGTCGATATGGTTAATTAATCATTTTCCTGCATCTCAGAAACGAGTCGAAAATCGCCAGAGCTAAAAAAAATACCCATATCATGGCGGGAGAGATACTTGATTTTTGTTATGAGCTAACCCGTCATACAATATTGATTGATGCAGACTTTTAACTGTATATCAACTTTTGGGGAATGAAACACTACACGGTTGACCGATACGTCAATGCCGAGAAATGAATGGTGAAAAAGTCAGGAATATTTCTAACCTATTACAGTTGAACGGGTCTGATCAATTATATTGCAAACGATAGCTCATTAATTGAGTGTGCAGGTTCTTCGATTATCGTCGATGCACGAATTCGGGAAATCTATATACATGGAAGCGCCAAAAACCTCAACTTCATAAGCCTCTCCAAGTAACTTCTCTGTTTGAGACTTTAATTGAATTTTAACGTGTAATCTGTGGATTGTGCATTGCAACATAACTAAATATTGAGGCTCATCATACAAAATCGACGTCAAAGAACAGATTGTATAGTGATGTGCACGGAAGAGTGGCTAATGCCTTGTGACTTTATGATTTAATCAACGGAATCTTGATTGATCTCTTTGCAGTTGGAACATGTCAGAATCAGCCCTAGCACTATACGCATTGGCTCTTTTTCTTGCCTAAATTTGAGGAAGATGATGGGTAGTGCAATCATCCAAACGAGTGATATTTTACAATCATATTATATCGGACGCCTATAAAAATGATAAGACGCAAATATAGCTGTTATATCCGTGATCGCCATATTTTTGTTCATATATCTGATGGACTTTTTTTATCCGATCCTGAAGCTTGAGCGGAAAATACTTACTGCAGGGGTGATCACCCGCACTAAATTAGTCGTGAATTATTGGTAATGCTACAACATCTTAGTAGCACGCAAGCCACATTTACTAGGTCGATATAATACTGTTATAGCTGGCTTGAGAATAATAACCAAGTAAATCGGTCAACATGTTTATTCACAGCCGTATATGAACGTAATCTCATAATCATCTTACATGTTCTCCATTTGCGAAAATCATTTAAGCGCATGCGCAAAATCAAGCTGTACGCATACCTCAAATAGTGCATATTTGCGACGAGCATAATATACCATGTGTTGATTGTGAGAGAGCACAGCGTAATACGTGATAACAAATCAAGTCACATAGCAACTGACCCATACCAGTCGACATCAACGTAATTCGTAATTTATATGACGATGGGGCGTACTTGCACGAGTACTCGCAAAAAAGCCGATACAATACGTGCATTTTTGTCAATTCACGGAATTCATGACGTTATCTGAACCGGTAACTACAAGCGCTCGAAAATTATTAAGAAAGTATAAATTGATCATCAATAGTAAATATCGCAGATCCTACCGACCGTTTTGTGTGATCTTGAATGCACGCAATTAAAATCTTCGTGCGCTTATGTTATTATATATATATATGGATATAGAGGAGTTTGTCATCTTTTATCACCTATACCAACTGCAAGCAGCTGAGCGCATGTTCACTTATCGAGACAAGAATCTACTTTTCATGATGTAATAACTGGCCAATTGACTGATGTAGATACAAACAGCTCAGCCATCTCTTGTTTATCCGTACCATCCGTCTCAATTCACGGACTTCGTTATGCAACACCCTCACGAAAAAGTTGGCAAGGTGAATATTGTTCAACACGAAGTATAACTGCTTCATGTAGTATAACTTGAGAGTAGTTGACTTCGTCGCTGATTCGCTTTCTCTTCGGCTGAAACTGGCTGAAGATTTTAATTGTGAAATAAATCTGCTGCATGAATGGATTATAAATAAGTATACAAGCAGTGATGACGATGGTTTACGCAAGATAAAAATTATATAATAATGGGAGGAATACTGTTCGATTTATCCATTGTTTGTCACATGTAAGGCTATAATGTCCACCTCGGTTCACAGTGGACCGTTACGTAGCATACAACAAATAATGCATTTTGCGAATAGCCAAAGCAATGCACCACGTTTCGGTGCCTCGTCGAATACTTATTTGTGTCTTTAGACCATGGATGAGCGTCACGATGCACCAATAAGTGGGCACTATGGTCGTGTATAAACTGACATCAGGGATACATAAACGTTACAGACCACTTCGGTGTTCCTTCTTGCGCAAGAGATGCAAACGAGGATGCGATATTTGTCAGTTGATACAACCTAGATAATTACTCCGTGCGTCGACACAGCCTCAATCAATTTAGGCAGAGTGTTGGCAGAAATAATAATGGAATTGGCCTCGGTCAAAATCAGAGATGTAGTCATTACGTGTCTTCGTTGTCATCTTTTCAGCAAGTTGGTACATCTTGTTGCTATGGCGGGCTCGATAGCAGGAGGCGATTGTCTCCTTTTATTGAAGACGGTTCGGACTCTGAGAGGTGACCTCTTGACCATTAATTATAAGATTCCGCGATACAGACAAGTTTTTATGCACCATATTCTCACCATGAACACGATCAAATGTCAACCTGTGATTAGCCGGAAAACTTGTTCCGCACGGAACGAACGCAAACTTCATTCCCAATAAGGAATTGAGGGTACGTGTACTCTATAGCAGCAGAAGAATAGCTTGCGTCATCCACGTATCCCCATCGTGATAGGGCATAACTCGAGTGTGAGGGTGGTAAGTAAACTGGCTGGAGCGGGAACAATCACGCTGACATACATCACGCAATGACGTGAGATCGACGTCAACGATGACGATGTTGCTTATTCTGGCACCAAACAGAGTGATAACGATGTTATTGATGGTGGTGACGAAAATAATAGTAGTTGATGTATGAGTAAAAAGGACGACGAGATACCATTTGTGCCATATAGGTGAAGGGTTGTGAGGCAATCTAAGTCGTCAGTACCTACTATCATGTATGGATCCGGCTTCTTCTTAGGGCCCGTTACGTCTCAATTTCGATACCGAATGCATTTTATAATCGTGTCTTGTGTACTTCAGCAGATCGGTATTGTCAGAAGTTGCACGGGAAGTAAGCATAAAACGTCTGTCAAACTTTGCGCACTATCAACAGAAGCCGAAGATATATTTACCGATACAAAAGCTGCGCGATTGATCTGTAGCGACAACATATGTCTGAACGGCAGAAGGGACTAAGTTTTGAGCCTGTTTTGTATTTGGTTGCTGCCTCGGTTCATTGGACCCCTCACCCACGCATAAATTAAGCTATCGAGTACGGCAGATAATCTACAATTTATTCTTCGCAACAGTGCCGCATCCGTGCGGGCTTTTTCGTTGGTACGAGTATATAAGGGACAGTACGTTACGTATGCTGTTGACAAACGTAGTTTTACCTTATCTGCAGAAAAAGCGTACTCTGTAGCCTACATACAACAGTGATGAAGGATATGCTGTAGTCGCTAGATTCTCGTATGACAGGTTTTACCGTGACCTCTTAGCATGCGTGGGCTGCACGAAAACCTGGTGTTGACCGATATACATGGTAGTCGTTTTCTTGTCGTGTAACTCGTACCAGTCAGCGAGTACTTGCTCTCAAAAGTGGATAGGAATGATCGCCACTACCACTCGATCATAAGAAACCGTCAGCAATAGACCGAACACATACCACCGACGATTTGCTACAGATATCAAGTGCAGGCGATGTCATGCTATATTGAAGATCACCATTCTACCTTTGGATCCAGTCGCCACTATCGGCAAATTTGCCGCCTAGGGTGGATGTATAGTGTCAAATAAGTTTTCGCGTGTCAGTACATTGCCCGCAGGAAGAAAGTGGATAAACGCACGATGTCAAAGTAACAATCTTCTGTTACAAAATGGATACTGAAACTACGCACCCGAACAAGATTGGCCTGCATGCTCATTTTTAATCTCCTTTCTTCTCTTTTGAGTTCTTGTTCATCTCCTAGCACATCGACCCCTTTATACGAAGTTGGCTCCAATCCGGTGCCGTTTCTCCGTGGTAACCGTAGTCGAAAAACAGCTCTTCGCCCTTTGCGATATCTTGCTGGGCCCATATTGAAATTCGATGCTCGCTACCCACAGTTAGAACTTTGCCCTCGCAATTTTTGCCACTTGTCGAGTGGTTCGCAAACCTACTTTTGTTGCCTTTGCGAATCGCATCGACAACTGAGTCATCATCAACATCGAACAAAAAGCTGATGGTCATCTTGTCATAAATGCTGCCGCGCCGTTCTGCTTCATCCTGAGAAAGGAGCGCTCCGTAGTATTCGTAAATAAACTCACCACGCTTGATCGGCTCCAAAGCAAAGGCTCCCCAACCATGAGTGGCAGAGTATGCAACGCCGATTTTCTTGTGCAGGCCACGCAAAATATTCACGTTACAACAAATACCTAAGTCCAGTGCAGACATCTTCATGCGGTCTTTGTCGAAAACCAACGCGGGGACTTCACTCGCGCCACAAGTTATGCACAAATCGGGATTGCACTCGCGAGCACCAATGAAACATGGACAGGCCTTGGTTCGGCAGTTGCCTCGGCTACACTTGCACCCTGGAAACCTGTGGGCATGTCAACATACGGAGCAAAAAAGTTAGTGACGGTCAGTTGCATCTGATCTAAAGCAAGTAAAAAACGCACCGATTTGGGCAGTCGCGTGAGCACGAGCACGCCTTGTCGCACGTATGATCACGTGCCATACAGGAGCAACGTGTCGCATCACATGCCCCTTCGTGGTTGCACGGCTCGTATTCGTGGTTCACCCACTCGCCCTTTAAGCAATTGTTTCGAGTCCTCTCCAGCGAAATTGGATTGCTTCGGCTACGCGAATCCCGCGCCCGACCACGCTTACGCCCGTTGGGAATCAATTCGGCATCGGACGACAGCGGCACGTCGTTCATTGCACTTCCATGAGCTGGGCTAGATGGACGCTCGGATTCCAAAACCATTCCGACCTCTTTGCATGTTGTCGACTTGATAATGGAAGAAATGATGCACGGATTGTCGCCAAGAATGGCTCGAAGCTTTCGGAGAAGGGTCAGCTCGGTATCGCTGAGTAAGTTTGGATCACACTTCCGCTCGTTGAGCGCAAAACTAGGGTCCGCAGAAATAGTGTGACGCCCAGCTTTCCAGCATTCATTCATACACCTCTCGTCATCCATCAACGACTTCTCAAAGATGGCAGTTGCGTGCGCGTGGTAAGAATCGTCCAGGTACTCGGACTCATCTGCCCTTCGCGGACACAATTGCACGCGATGAGGTCGAGGTTGTTTGCGTGCAGGCGGTAATGTACCTTGCTTGTTTAAGCTTTGGCTTGCTAAAGTGCAACATCTCGTTAAAGCACGAACGGAACGACGAGTTCGATGCGTCGCTTTGGCACTTTTCCCCTCCTCATTTGCACCGTTCACGTCTATCGTTTCGTTAAGACCGTCGTCTATGATAACACATTCATCAACCTGCGCATCTTCGCTGTGTTTATTCTCGATTTGAAAACTGTTTACCACAACGCAGTCACCAATTTCCTGAGTGTTTGCGTTCGCCGGTGAGATCAGAGTCGACGTACAGCTTTCTGAGCTCCTGTCTCCTAGTTTGCCATCGTCATCACGCTTCTTTGCCGCCGCCGCTAATGCGACAGGTGACAGGTAAATCGGGGGGTTGACTGGGTCAACACGGTGAGAGGGTAGCGGGTGCTCGATACCATGCTCGAGACAATGATAATCGTAGCACATGCGGCAGAACATGTCGCGATACGTAACGAGTAATTCCCTGGAATCGGCCGCTGCTCGCAAGCCTAAACCATAGCCACGAACGGAATGGTTTCTTGCCAGATTCGAGTCGAAGTAAGTAGGCGGTGGGGCTAAGCGCTCTGCCAGGGACTTGTGACAACGATCGTCAGTGCGTAACGATGTCTCCAAGGCTACCACCCTCGCCAGCGGGAACTCTTTCGGCTTGCGTCGTATCAGCTCTCTCGCCTCCTCGACCCGCCGTGCAGCGAGACCAATCCCATCATCCAGCTTCTTCATCTCACTGTAATCCAAGTACGCTTGGGCAAATCCGAGCACGCTTTTCAGCGCGAAAAACACGCTTTCGGTGGTCCCGCACTCACGTACAATGAGGCGCAATATCAGTTCATTCATCTCGCCATCGAGACCGGTCACCGAACTCGAGCATTCCGGCTCAATCGCATCGTACCAAGCTTCATCAATATCCTCCCCATCATCATTGTCTCCAAAATAGGGCTTGTGGCGCAATATTGGATCGTCTTCCACACGAATGTTTGCTTTCAAGCCGATGTAAGCAGTGCATCTACTCAGTGGCTGGATTTTAGGGAGCTGGTGCACGTCCCCTGGAAGCAATTTCTCTCTGACACTGCTCATCTCACCCCACACATGGGAATATTTCATCGACAACACCTGCGTCGATTTCTCCTGTTTCATCTGGTTCAAAAGTAGCTTGTCTACTACAGCTCCTTCGACCAGACGCTTGCGGTCTACTTTATCATGATAAAACGAGTGATTAGTTAACGCCATTTCTTGGACCCGAGCCCAACAAAGACCAAAAACACTCACTCTGGTTGGGCTTGCTCTGCACGTCAAGCATTGCGCGCGCAGCAAGGTACGTTTCGACCTTTGCTCGTGCTTCGGCAACGATCGCCGACGTTTTTCGTTTCTGACACGCTCTCAGCCTGGGCTGTTCACGCAGGGTGAGATTGGATACGCGAGTGTCCATTTCTTCTTGGGAAATAACTTGTTCGGGCTCGCAAGAAATTCGCGCAAGTGTGTCGACTCGTGAGGATTTGCCAAACTGTGGTACAAATTTGCACTTGCTGTTTAAGTCTCCGTCCACATCTGTGTAAAAACAACACGCAGCGTAAGAAAGATATTATACTGCAAGTAATTGCAGAGAGCTACCATCACATACCATAGGTCAACAACGGACGGTCGAACTTTGAGTAAAAAGGAGCCGCGACGGCTGAGTCGAGCGGCAGCAAATTTGTCGGTGCAGAGTCAAAACACACGTTTCGCCATGCTGTACTATGTATCACCGTATTCCGGGTAGTCCTATGATGCGCCAATTTGTCCAAAGAACGACCAGCTCGTGCAGTCGCTGACGGTTGCACTCCTGGTTTTGCCGATAAATGCTGCGTTTTATTTTTTCCCTTTTTGCTCTCGGACTTGGCAGCATGCTTTGGTTTTGCAGTCGTTTTCGGCTTACTACTTTTGCCGGTATCGATACAACGGCCAGAGTCATGCCGCACACTCGACTTGTTGCGCTTGCTCATCGTGTACGTTTCGTCGATGACTTCCGCTTTGTCATGCTCTGACGATAAGTCTATCGCCAACGATGCCAACGCTTCAGATTGAGATAGCGCGTTTCCTTTTCCATCACCTTGCTCGAATTTAGACGATTTGACGCCGTCGTTTTGCTGCTCGCCAAATGAGAGAGTCGACGACTTTGATGCTGGCGCCTGAAGCTTCGCTTTCTTTTTCACATGGGAAAATGCCGCTCGATCTTTTCTCGCCGCATTTTCTGTACGCAGTCGCGCTAGCTCACGCTCTTGCGCGACCACATCCTTGAGACACATTGACTTCGCCCGGCCACCTAATGCCGTTGCATCACTCGTCTCTTCACTTGACGACAGCGACGACGAATCGTCACTTATCGTGATACAATCAAAGTCAAACGGCGATTGCGACGTTGCTATCTTCGTGTCCAAGTTCCTGTCTTTAGAACCGAGCGACACTGGCACGTCGTCGCTCGCCTTCCGCTTCGATCCCGCAGCCGTCAGGCGCACATAGTTGGGAGATATCGGCTGACACGCGCGGTGCGCTTGATTACCCTGTTGTCTTTCCCGTTCACACTGCTGCGCCGCAACTTCCCCAGAAGACGTCATATCCATTGCCACGCACTCGCCACTGTCTATAGCCCTCAAGTGGTGCGGTATCTTGTCGCCAGCACCACCACCGTCAAAATGCTGACTGTCTCCTTCCACAAGTCCTTCTCCTTTCTCGTCAATGTCCTGTACTTTATCTTCCTTCAACTGACTATCGCGACTGCCACTAGCATCGCGAGAGGCACCAGATGTCGCCACGACTGGCACGTGAGACTCTTCGCTTTGACAGCCGAGAGCATCGCTTCCGTCTGACTCGTTGGATGAATGTACACACAGTCGATTCTGCCGCTGACTGCCGATGACTTCGACGCTGTCATCGTCGCTGGAGTCATCAATAAGGATCACGGAATTCGACGGACTTGGCATGAGCTGCAGGGAGCAAGACAAAGGTCATTAGTTAGTACGGGCGCAAATAAGGAGACCTGGCAATGGTTTGTGCCCAAGCAGCAGTGGGAGATATAGTGAAATTAGTATGCAAAACTGACAGAATTTACTACTGGACAACGTTCGTGACTTGAACACGACGATACGAATTGGGGCTCGGACACTGTGGACCCGTTCGTTGGTTAAGGCGCGTCAAAGACAATGGCAAAAAAGAGACCAGTGCGATGGAGTGCTCACTTTTCATTGGGGTGCTCCCCCCAACTCGAATATTTCGGTAACCATTGGCTCGGACCTTTCTGATTGGCTATGCGGACTATACGCATTCCTTGTAATTGTCGCGTAAAACATCACTCTCGTCTTGCTTTTATCACCCTTCGAACGCTCCGATCGTACTCTAATCAACTGTAAATCGACAAAGCCGATTGCAAGCAAAGAAGTATATAGCTCACAGCAACAGGCCTGACAGGCTGCGTACAATGGTACAAGTGTAGAAGGGTCTCTTCCTTGACGACGATTGAAGCACCAGGACAATCGAGAACCTGACAGCAGAGCGAAAACTCTGGTGATTGCCTACTCTTGTACAAGAGCTTTGACAATGTCGTCGCATGTCCCGGAGCAAATTCACAACACGAGCGCAAAGTCGTAGCATTAAATGTTTTTCGAGTCTGCATACGACGCTTGAGGCCTTACCTATGGCTTGTTAAAGGGTCGGTGATGCAAAAAACATCAAGTCTATAGTTCATCTGTATTTTGTGGAGTAAGTGTTCGCTTTTCGCGGGAACACGAATCGCTTGCAGACTGTGTAAAGTTGCAAACGGTGGTTTGATTCGGGCGATAAGGTTCATTTCGGTAAGTGTTTGAGTAGGGGATTCACAGAAAAAAGAGAACGGATGAATAAGCTGTTTCTTCTCCCCAACGCTGCTTCCATCAAGTAATTTGCACGGAATGCATTTTCCATACAGATAGCCAATGAAACGCATCGAGACCAATGATTTTCCCACCTGGAAAGTGGCATGAGGGATCCGAAATGGAAAGGAAGCGTTCCCCGAGCGCACTGATCAGTTACGCAATATTACGTTTCGGTGGAGCATAATTGCGCTGTGTACATTACAGTTTGCGATACTCTAGTAAGAGAGGCTTAAGAGCACGACTCGGGTCCATCTTTTGCAGAAAAGTCAGCATCTCAAAGCGACTGCTGGTTGACAACACCGCAACAATGGCATAGTCGTGTGTATAATCAGCACGCCATCCCGACTAGATTCGAATTGGTACGACGGAAGATGTAATGTGAGGAACAGTTGTGATCAGCTGTTAAATTGGTGTTTCTTCTGCTAGATTTCAAGAGAACACAGCAACAGAGGTTGGGCATTTTAAATGGTCAGAGCTCCTCTTGAAAACATATGCAATGGGCTGCCGACGTTCCAAAATCAGCCTGCGTCGTAACATGTGTGCATATTCTGGCTTCGATAGGATTTCTCACTTCTACTGCTGAATACGACAAGCAGAAGCACGCACCTTATATTTGTACAACTTGATTGACACAGACCGTAAAGAAAACGGCACCTGCGACTTTACGTCGGAGCCGCATGCCATGCATCACTCACTGTCCCGAAAAAATGGCGTTGCAGTTACGAAAGATTCCATTCCGTTCGAATCAAGCGTCTAACGGTTTGATCATGTTGCATCACTTTGACCCGTTGATTGGATGTACGATCTTTATGTTGATAACACAAAATTTATTCATGATGGCTACAATCTTGATTGGCTGTTATGGCCGAGCTGTCAGCCGACAATCGACCAATCAACAAGAGACACGCAATGAGTGGTGAGCAGAGAAATGATGTTAGGGTTCTGATTTTAGATGTAAATGTATGTAGAGCTACTTGCATCTTCACAAAGTTGATGTTCCATGTTCTCCTTCCATTTGGCTTTTGCATCTACCCTTCACGCTATCTGCATCTTAGCATAGATGGGATTTCAGGCGCAACTTATATTGGTTTATGTGACTTACACAGTCATCGACGTAGGTAAAAATTGCCATGTTCCTTTGCGTGTATGTGACGCCTTGCGGCGCATAAGCTGAAGCTTCGGCTCGGGTACATGCAGCATTCGGATGCAGAAGATGTTGTACACGTCGGCGTATCCGCGTTCACCCTCTCGGCTCTGGTGACCAACATAGCGCTATGAATAAAGCTCGAACCTACCGTTGATTACACGAGATAAATCAAGATTTGGAATTCCCGTACCCATCTTTGATGCAAAGAGGTTGACCATCAGGCGACATGTTAGCCGTAAAGTATAAGTTGTGGTAATTACTGTGCTGTTGTGGTCGTCGGATAATCAAGCAGCCCGTCATTGTTGCTGGTGTGTGAAGATTAGTATAATAAAAGAGGGACGGTAGCTGATATTTCATGTGCAGCAAAAAAAGAAATAAAGTTGACTGCATGGTATTGGAGAAATGTATTTCCCCTGGTGCTTTGGCTATGAACGGTCACTTCAGCTGACGAATCCCGGTTCTAATCCGACAAACTAAGGTCCTACAAAATAATGCTTGAAATACCAGCTGTGTGATACCAACACGTGAACCCAAATACCAGTGAGTACGGCTTTTAGAAAAAGCACGAATTTCCAACTACCTTTTGTTGAGGCTATCAACAAAATGTACTTGGGAATTCGTGTTTTTTCTTATCCGAAATGGCTGGCTAGAGTTGATTCGGTAGAAACTTTCGTCGCGCAGCTAGATAGCCACGACTGTTAAAATATGTAGAGGCACAAGCCGATGAGGTCAGTAACAAATCGTTTGTAAACACCAAATGTGCCGACTAGCACTTTGGTGTGGGCCGACTGGCCCTACCAAAAATCTACCAGTATACATTTTTGACGAAGAGACAGTAAGCTATAAGGCTTTATGTATCGCTCTAAAGAAGTCGATTTCCTTACGCTATCGCTATTCGACATTTTAAATTTTACACCGATGCTGAAACGGTCAACTCGCTCTCACGATATTTTTCCCTCATCAGCTACCAGAAGATATCTCGAACTAACTAAGGAAAGAAGTAGACATGTTGGTACTCGTCTCGAACTCGTACACGATCGAGAAAATTTGTAACGGGGTTACACGTCGACTGGTAGTCGACAATAGGTGTGGTGCACACAAGGGATGGGATCCCCTACTGAAGTGATATTAGAACACAGTATCAATTGTTGAAGACTGATGTCTGTCAACCATTGATTACGGGATCTCTTGAGAGATTATTCAGGACATTGGCGAGTAGGTTAATTACGTTGTACTAAGGTGTTCTTTTAGGTTAAAAGAAGAAATAAAGCTCAGTTCCAATTTTGATCCGATATACACGTGCCTCTTTGAGGCGTCTTGTGATCGTTGAGGAGATAGCAACGCCTTGTTAAGGCAGCTACTCCTTGTGCACTCTGAGCGTTGATTCTCTGAATCGTTTGGTCCCCCTGTAACAGGGACCGTAAGCTCTCTGAGCTTGTTGACTCTTTGAGTCGGGTTCGTTGAACCAAACCTTAGCTCTTTGAGCTGTTGACTCTTTGAGTCGGATTCGTAGAACCAAATTTGCTCGTTGAGCGTTAAAGTCTCCCTCTGACTTAGGGAGCTGAGTAGCTCCGCTACAAAATTCCTGTTACATTAATAGCATCGTAAGGGAAGAGACCATCAAATTGATGGGTGTTTCTGTCGGGAGTTTTGATCATCAAGTACATGGACATAGACACAATGTCGATGCTAAGTACCTGATGTTAGCTTTTGCACGCTTAGCACAACCTTTGATTTTGGACTCGCAATTTGGCTTGTTTTCTTTTGTGCTATTTATAAAATGCACCGCTTTGTAGACCCATATTATGATCACTACTTTACTTTATATAAACATACAAGTGTGTGGATTACGACAATTGTCACGAGCCTGAAAAAAATCGTGCGCATAATTTTAGTAAACGCATCAGTTCAAAAATCAACACGCTAGGCTGACGATAATATGAACCATAGTGCAATTCCGAAAGGAGAAGCTATTATTGGGTATACCTGATGACATTTCCATGTTTCTCGGTAGATATTTTTTGCGTGTCTTTTTGACTATCTCTCTGTCTTTTAGTCGCGCGGGGTGTAAATTCCACGTCTTCTTAGGTGCGGTCTAACATGGCCCCTGTTTACTGGTACCAATGATATCGAGTGTCACTATCTCGATATGCCACAAGTTGAATTTGCACAAAATTATGTGTATTTTTGTGCATGCGCACTCAGTTTTCTTCTAAAAATGTTGAGGTGGAATAGCGCAAAGAAACGATCGAAGAGTTTAAGCAGTGAAGCCTCATGTATCCTCCACTATCTCATGCACGAAAGCTGATACTTAGCTTTAACATGCATGTAATATTTACTCACATACGTCGCGGATCGTATTAAGGGTTGAAATCAGTCTACCAGATTAAAGGCTGATTCATAATCCTATCAAAAGATCTTTGACACAAGGTCGTAAAATGTAATGGCTCTCGGCATTGCCGATAAACTTTCTTACCTGCCCAAAACAATGTGCTCGGGAGAAAATGAAACAAGATGATCGCTTACGCGTGATAGCAGATTGATATGACATTCCGCTGCTAAACTTTCATTCAGCCTGATCACATTTTTAACGTCCTGTTTAGAAGTAGAAACGTTTCTGAGCGCCGTAATCCACTCTACGCAAGCTTCTGCACGTATCACCTATTTAAGATAATAATTTAACAAAGGTTACTTTATGTCGGTATAAATCATCGTTACAACGATCACGTGGTATTTTTACATCGTCTTTTCATACGTATACAAAAGAAATTTACTACACAAAATGCACTTGCAACCTAGAGCAGCATCGGGAATTTACATCATTACGAAGCATATGTACTTAATTACCTTTTTCACGTCACCTATGGTGCATTTTAAAATCAGTCAACACATCTGACGATTTTATAATATATATGGGCGGTAAGAA